CCTGTTATCAATAAGCACGAAGAAGCTGTCATTGTCACGCGATTGATTATACAAATATCATACACGCTCCGGCGTCTACGACGGTTGGATCGTATTATCACACCCGGTGGAATTCTTTGAAAAATTTTTATTTGAGGAATATTATTTTTTTTTACTTTATTCAGATTGACATTTTCTTTGATCACGTTTATTATGTTAAAACATATTGCATGTTTTAATAAGCATGCAAACATTTGTTCTCGTTGTTATAGTTGCTCGCACTGGCCCCTTCAAGGTTCGATAAGGCCCCCCCACGGTCTATTCCATATATAAAGGCTCACCCGGAGGAGGTTATCACTGTTTGTCTCATACAACCGGCATTCGAATCGCGTGTTAGCGACGCGTGACGTCACCGACGTCGGAATGTAGGGTCGCTTACGCGTTGCGAACAAGTCCCCCCCCCCTTTCCCACCGGCGTATAGTAAACACGCCACGCAACGAGGACACGTGGGAATGCGGGTACGCACGTAAAAATCGAAAGGTTACCACCACGTTTCTTATTTATACGTACCCAGCATATATGTACATATATGTATCACAGATCAATACCTGCACGGTAAACGTTTTGTCCTTGGTAAAGCGACTGTTTTAACAGCCAGCGACACGTAACTGAACTTATTAATATTAATACCTGAAATAAGGGCTCGACGATTTTGATAAAAAAAATTATTACCGAAAAAAAAAGTCCATATCCTTGAAGTCAACATGATTTGTTAAAGTCACTCGAAAGTGACTCCTATGCATATTTCAATGATTTCAAAAATTACGATTTAACGTCACATTTTTTTTTTAGGGTCTATTTATACCACGAGCGTCCGCCTAACGTGTAACGGACGACCTTGAAATTCGTAATTTTCATAAAATGACCAAAAAATTGTCAAAAGATGGTATCGACCGTTTATTGAATTTTTCATTGTTTATCAATCTACGCGAATGTCGTAACGTTTTTGCAGCGTGTGCGTAGACTTTGTAAATGTTTGAATTTTTTTTATCGAATCTCAATAAAAAATTCAGTCTTTCGGTGTTACGTCACGCTGAAACTTGATACTCGTTTTGAACGATAAATTCTATGGGGTTTTTGCAGGTAATAATATCGCCGGCGATATTAACGTGTTATTTTATTTCATTCCTCGTGACTCTTTTTTACACTGTTAATACCCATCGCTCCTCCGTTTCACAGGTATCCGCTGCTACTTGCACGACAAACTGCAAATGGCCAGCGGAGCTGACAATTCTCGTGAACGAAGCAGACGCACTGCGCCTCGCATTTAATTATTCTAATACCCGTGTTACATGAATCTTACACAACTCGGATCGTGGATTGACGTAAGCTTTCCAGGAGCTTAGCATAAAACAATTCAAGCTAAGAGGTCAGACACGCTCCTTGCGTAATTGGGCACGGCCCGCATCCGATTTTATGTTTATGTAACCCTTCATCCGTTGTCTCGTATCGGTCCTAAAGACGTCGTGCCTCCTTAACGATTGCCCGGATAAAAATGTGTCACGTAAAGCGACAACCGACAATGACCATAACCAACACCGAGAGCATTAAAATTTCTGTGAATAATATGGGACTCATTTTTGGATCCTTCTTCGTATCAGGGAACAAATAGACCGCCGATTGCTATTTCGACAGCTTCTTCGTATCTAATTGAGACACTGGCGCCGTTTCGCTTCGATATATCCTCTGTAGCTACTTCCTCTGAAAATTAGGCAAATCGGGTCAACCGAGCTGTCAACCAAGACGTCACGTTAGATAACACTGTATCTCGTGATTGCTTAAAAAATTATTGTTCATTGTCGAGCATGGAATTTCTTGCTCGATGTGCTCCTCACTTTCGTCTGAGTTACTTGCTGTCTTGAATTTTTTTTTCCAGAGAGAAAAAAGATGCTGCCCACTCGGTTAGATATTTTATACGTCGACCCAAGCCGTACCCAAGACCATTCAGGATCACGGTCCTGAGTCGTCTCGTCCCACGCGATTTGGGCGATTCTCAGCGAACGTTGAACGGTCAAAAATATCGACTGGTACCAATGAACGAAATTGTTAATATTTTATCACAACGAATTATACCTATAACCAGACACGTGCTTTTACACGTACCGTGTATGGAGCAAAGGATCTTTTGGTACGAAATATAAATAAAGAAGTATCGTCTAAATAAGGATGATCGTCTTCGTGTATTTTTAGACTGTCGTTCAAGTCGCCCATGGGTTCCAATACAATCTTCATTCAACATTCTCGATGTTAATTTTGCGGATCGTTTTGGTTGAGGAGGTTACGAAAAAGTAAGGTAGTGGTGAAAGAGTCGAGAGTTAAAAGTAACGAAGATACGTATAAACTATAGCTATACGGTATACGTACGTATATAACGTATACACGTAACCTGACTCACATAGTCCGTAATCGAATTAACGGCTACGTTCATTGGTCGTGTTATCTAACGTTCGCTTACGCGAGTCTTCGCTCACTACTTTGTTCAATAACGTTCTATTCCACGCAATCATCGCGGAATGTTGAATGAGACAGCGGGCAAAAAGGTGGGATTAAAATTTCCCCGAATGTCTCCCTTTTTAACCTCTCATCCACATACATCTCCCTCTCTCTCTCTATCTCCGTTCCGTAGCGTGTGTTAACCATGACAAAAGTCATTTTATTGGATGACGAAGTAGCTACGGAATTTCGTGGAGGAAATTACGTCGTTTCGACGCGCTCGGTTTACCTTTTGCGATTTTAACGAAGTGCCGAGGAATTTTTTAAATATATATTTTTCTTTTATCATTTCGAACGTAGAAAAATTCAAAATCCTGTGGGCGAATATCTAGGTTGCTGGCAGTGTCAGCTGTCGGCTATCGAAGGAGCGTTCTTTATTCGTGTTTTTGTCTTTTTCTCTGACATTGTAAAAGTTCCTGACCCTCGAGCGATTAAAGTCCGACTGGTCACTTGAGCAGGAGTCGTGTTGAATTTTCAGTAAGACACGGCGGATCCAATGGCCTTTAATCTACCCGCGGAATTTTCAGGCGGAACGTCGTATATCCGATAAATTGGCAGTAGCGAGGACGACGCGACGCACGTCGAATTCCCTCGAGTAGCGCCGATGCTGAGAGGAATTTTTACGTGGAATCCCACGAGGCGTGTAAAACTCTCGTACATACCATACGACATATGTATACTTTGTCTACATGCATATAATGCATGCGTCAAGAATCACAAGGTTTTAAAATGCATACTCATCTATACAGGCAGCACACTATAGAAAGGCGTAGAGTAGGTATAGGAACGTAGTATCCGTAGACGCCGGGTAGAAAATTCCTATAGTAAAGAGAACGAGAAGCGCGCACGACTTGCTCACGGTGGAGATAAGTCAAGTAAATAGAATAAAATTCTAAGCATACCGTCGTCGGCAAGTAGCGTAGACACGGTGAGAAAAAAATAATAAGCTAACCTATCGAGAAATGTTAATATTTGAAAATGCCACATGGGAATTACGAAATTCTCAGTCTGCTCTCTTTTCTCGGGTAGCGGCGTTGACGTACACGTCGCGCACTTTGTTTACCGTCGATTGTTGGGCTGCCTGAAAGTCGGGCACAGAAAGGGATTTGCGTGTTGCGCATACTGTTACTTTTTTTGAGTACTGCACGAAACCGCGGGATTACAGGAAAAAGGACGTTTTTATTTGTGCCATATAGGGCAACGTATTTCGACGTATGTTTGGTATATAAAATTACGTAATTAGAGGACGTGACTCGGGGAGCAAACTTTGAAACGCCGTTCGATGGAATTCAATGAAATTGACTTTCATTCCGAGGTTTCTGTCTCAGTCGGATAGAGAAGATCAATAGGGAATCATCGACGATCCGTAGACAGAACTGAATTCAGAACGAAATTCCCGTTAGGTTGGCAAAAACGTCTTACGTGGATGCTAGACTTGGTTTCTGTCCTACTGCTGTACTGCCAGTGCTACCGTACCTTTTTGGCATTGACGATTCTCGATTGCCCAGTCGAGTGGCAGAAGGGAGACTGACTGAGAAGGAATGGAAAAGAGTGTCACGGAGGTTAGGAAAGGCTAGGAGCTTCGCCGGAATGATATCGCAATATGTTTACTCGACTACCCCGCCGCTTGACTGGCTGACTTGACTGGCCCAGTGTGCGTTGGAATGTCAAGGCAAGAAACTGAGAAGCCCAGGCCACTCGCCAAATAATTAAAAGCCAAGAAGGAGCCTCCGTTGCGGCATCGTATAATATATCCTTTTCACGGGACGCCATCTTGCTACTTATTTCTTCCTCGTCTTATTTTATTCGTACGCGTACACGTAACTTTTTATCGAATTATTATTTCGTGCTTCTCCTCGTTCCTGGCCGTTTCGATATCTTTGTCCTTGGGACGTTAGGCTTGCGCGATATGGATATTAGTGAGGGCCCGTTTAAAGTCACTAGGATTTCAAATGTCCCTAGATCCGTCTTATGCCTTTCCCCCCTGTAAAATTTGTAGCAACCACGGTCCTGACATTCCAACGTAACGCTCTCCACCTCTTCTCACTTTCACCGCACGAATTCCGCCGACGTCGGTACTTGCGCTGCGTCCTGCGTACAATGCATATTTTTCGTCTTTTTCACGTGACCGTGCTATTAATACTTGTATTCGCAATTTTTATTACGTTACTCGTAATCAGGCATGCCTTATTATACGCCACTGACGCGGTTACTCGATTTTAATTGTTTACTGGATAAAACGGTCTTCTTCGTTATCTAGCCTTGACATTCCAGCACGCACGACTTATCCGCTGTCTCTTATTCGTATTGCCAACCTTGTAAAAGTTCACATTACGATTCTTCGAGGTAGCTGGTATACATATATATGTATATTCAACCGTTTGTGTCACCAGTCCTAAGCAGCACGCTTGCCATTAGGGTATTTAGGGAGAAAGGTGGATGAGCTTGTTATCAGAGATATTTTTTCTTGCTTTTTATTATTATTTTGAAAAACTTTAAATTGTTATTTTTTTTTACTACTAGTCTCATACCTCGTTAAATGTCTTTCATTATCGTAATAGGTAGAGAGTAACATTCCTCAGGGCCGTACGCAGCATTAGTTCCTTTGGCTGTACATATACGGTGGGGTCCTGTTCTACCTGAAGCGATACCATTAGAATTATAAAGAGCTTAGAAAATATCGTGACTGGCAGCATGAAAGTTCGAGGTTATACTAGACGGCGCTTATGGTAATCTCGTAATAGCGACTCGTAGAATATTGATTTTATTTTTGCAAAATTTTGTCTCTCAACGTTCCACGTTATGGGGCTATGTTTTACATGGAAACTTTTTTTCTGTGAAAAATCAGTCATTCGACAAAAACTTACTCGCACTGTACTATGAATATTATAAATATTTATTTCTCACTCTCTCTTTCTCTTTGAAATTACAGATTTACGAAACCTCAAACCTTCGCCGATTGTATCGGTAACGAACTTCCGCTCGGTTGGGAAGAGGCCTATGACAAGCACGTAGGAGCTTATTACATTAATCATGTTAACCGTGAGTATATTGTGCAATTGAATAATAGTCATCAAATCGTCACGAGCGATTGTAAGCATTGGTCGTCGTTATTGATTCTCAGAAACAACCCAATTGGAAGATCCCCGACAGGAATGGCGAGCCATACAGGAAGCCATGCTTCGGGAGTATCTACAGACCGCACAGGACGTACTGGAGGTGAGTTTCTCAATTAATATTTTGGTTAAGTAAAAGACGGGAAAAAGTGGCATCGAGCCTCCATAAAAATTAGCTCGCTGGTAAACAACCGCGATGCCATAATAATTTCTGTTTGTCCCTGCAACCCCAAGGACCGGGATATAAGTGAATTCCATTTTAATAAACGCTTCCTGGCCATTAGTCAGTGGGCGTAGCCAACCAAGGGAATGCCTGAGTGACTAGTCATCGAAGAAATCCCTAGCTGAAATTAAAGAGTCACGGACTCTTAAGCTTAACTGCGATGCCTTGGTACTCACGTGCGTCCACGTGTAAACGCATCCATACAATAGAATGAACGTATACAGTCCCCACCTAGAGAGTCTCGAGGGGCCCCCGCGGCAAGAAGAAGGGGCCCTCTTTCGAGCCCACTAACCAATGGAGGGGACAGGAAGCCGTCCCGTGGGAAATCATGTCACTTCCGGTCACTTCACACTTACGAACGCGCACAGCCAATATCCGAGCATCGTGAATACTTGGCGATCAACGGCCGATTAAATCCTTTCTATATGCCCGTCTTATCCCATAACTATACACATCGTAATACCTGTGTCCCATGCGCCATATAAAATTCCTCACTCGCTTTTCGCTCGGCTTTCTTTTCCCTCTGTTCGCTCATTCATTCGTTCCGTTCATTCACTGCCAGTCCCTTTTCTCGACTCTGCGTCGTTACGTTCTCGCACGCGTCGCGAAACGCCAATGCGCGTTCTGCCCGTAAAACAACAGCTGCGCCACGTTTCCACGAAGGTTTTTATCCTGCCGAGAGAAAAAGAGTGCCGAGTCAAAGAAAAGACGAAAAAATTCCGACTCACGCATACCTCTAATCAGACCAAACACATCGGACTCTCGCTTACGCGAAACGCCCGGATACTCCCCAAACGAACTTTCGCTCGGTCTGCGTCCTGGCTCCTTTGCATTATTTTTCACGTTCACGTATACCCCGAATCGTGCGTAGATACGAACGACGAGGGACTGCGTCCGAACGAGGGTATCTCGTTAGCGTGCGAAAATTTGGTGGGAAATGAAAAAGCGACAGTGGCGCTACGTCGTGTTACGAAAGTGAAACCGATAATAAGGAGTGTGCTGTAAAAAGGTGCCGAGTCAGTCCGGGTCGAATCCCTCGAGGCTAAAGACTATAACCGCCGTCGGCTAAGTATCGTATCTTCTACGTTCTTAAGGGTACGGTCGGGTCGAGAGAAGAAAAGGAAAATAAAAAGGAGAAGCACGATAACAAAATGGAAACAGAAAGTAAAACAAACGGACGACGATACCTTTCCATAAGGATCGTCGATCCTCGTCGAGGGAGTCGCCAATTCTCAATAGGAAACTTTTCCACCGAGTTATTCTTAAATACATTCACGTACACGTAGACTCTATCTCCCGTACCTGACCAGCAGTCCGGTTCCCCGTCCCTCACGGCACCGGCCGAACAGCTCGGGGTTTCACGCGTGTATAAATACGCGTACTCGTAGAACGTGGTACGAGCATTCGAACGCGGCGAGGGGATTTGCATTCCAATGCAAATGGCTCTCCTCTCCGCTGGCTCGATCCAGCCAGTGCATAGTTGGCTATGCCAATATTTTCTAGGATACGCAGAGACGGGATTTCCTTGCGTATGAAGTACGGATCAGATATTGTCTATGCTCGTGTTTTCTTTTGGAGGAACAATTACTTTTTTTTTCTTTCAACATCGTTCGACCGAAGAAAATATACATTTCATATAGGTATAATCGATACCGGAAATCGATTAATCATCGCGACCAGAGCCGACACTCGTCTCGCTCGATTCCATGGAATATATCAATAATTTAGCGACTGCATGTACGTTAGTCGGTGTAACTTAATTAATGGCATTAATTAGATATGATTGGTCGAACGGAGCGCCACGAATTTGTCTCTTTTGATTATTTACATGCTCGGCGGTTTACGGATGCTTTACGGTAGGTACCGTGTTCAGTGGCGGTTGCTGTCTCGTGACGTATTATTTAAACTGTGTATAGGATTTCTTTGTGAAGTCTGTTCGCGCAAATAATAGTCAAAGTAAAGGACAGACGGTCTCCGTCGACCGTCTCGTGTCACTTATCCGCTTTCCTAGAAAATGTCCGCGAGTACCGAGCACGCGGTGCTGCGTCGGATATATAGAATAGGAAAATCCCAGGTCTCAAGCGTTTAGTTACCAGACGGTACTACGTGACATGTATACCCGTGTACTGTGTAGCAGATAGATGCGCGCAGCACGCGAAGGATCCGCGGCCAAGAATTCTTCGAATTTTCAACGCGAGAAGAATTTTTGGCTCGGATCGCTGAATATTTGGGATACCAGGCGTCGCTTCTGGACTTCGACCGATCCACCGTACTTCGGGGTTACCAGCGTCGGGCAAACGTCGCTACCCACTCGTCCCCAGTGAAAACTCCCAATAACGACTTCTTCAAACCGAACATCCGAGGGACTCGGCTTCCTCTTATATTAAATGCTCTCCGCCATTGCTAAATCGAACGAGATCCCAAGATCGATCGGGAACGTCGTGATCTCTGGATCGCTATCTCTCGCGTGCCTAATCAGATCTCCAGGTATATACATATACAGTATACACGTCAGCAGCCTCCAGTTACATTGTTCGTATGTATCGACTCGTTACCGAAGTGTGTTGTACCCAGTTAATGACAGGCGAAAAGTCGGCCTATTCCTTGCAGGCTTCCGTTAATTGGATTCAGTATAATTAAGAAAAGTTCTCAGATCGCTAGTGTGCAATCTGATAGACTCCGGAGCAGTCGAGGGCACACGGTGTGTGGGTAGGTTGGTACTATGTAGAAATAAAAGAAAATTTCCAATGCCACAACGCAACGATTCGAGCCTCAAGATTTTCTTGTGCCGTGATCCAGTGATCCATGTTCTCATTTAAAGCCCC